CTGACACACGGAGAGGTTTTTGCTATCGGGTGCATGCACTCACCAGGAAGACAGAGAGAGACAGAGACGGAGAGGGAGAAATCACCCCCTGGGGGAACGGCCACACTACAATCCCTTCTCCTCCATTCTCTTCTTGGGATCTTGGGTACATACGCACATGCGCCCGGTGTGAGTTTAAGCCACCGGGTCTGGGACTCGAACCGCGGTCACCTACGTGGGAGTCCAGCGACATAGCCATTACGCCATCTGCTGGTCCCTGGGCACTTTCTCTTGGGCATACAGCTTCAACTGGAATGTGCAAAGCCGGTGTATCTGCCCTTTCTCAGTTCAGGGAGTAGCAGGTAGGGAGGATGGCTCTGCTTACTTAGTCTGGCCATGATGTTTTAGAGAACACGTTGATTCACTTACACTCGTGTGAAATTAAGCTCATTGCTGGGCAATGCCAGGTCTTTCCAGAATCCCATCTCTCCCACCCCTTGAGGTTGGGAGGCCTGTCGCAAACACAGAAGAGCAAAACCATCCGTCATCGTCCCAGCGTGATCCGTTATGAGGCTCATGAAACATTAAGAGCTTCATGAGACAGAGCAGAGGAGGAAATTTGCTTTAGCCCTGGCCCCAGCTACATTTCTAGCTTATCTATTTTTTAAGAAGTACCTCACCCTTTTATAGTTGGTCATGAAAAGTGAAACTCTGTTGCAGATATTTCAATGTGACTGTCATTTTTACCCTGATCTGAAAATCATTTTTAAATGCTTTCTGAAGTCCGCGGGCCCTTCAGTGTTCTCGCCATATTTTTTATTCTGTCCCCTTATCCTACTTTTTTTTCTTCTCCTTAAGATAGAGTTTCAGGGCCAGCAGGTGGCATGGTGGCTAAGGGCGCTGGATTCCCACATGGTCAACCATGGTTTGAGTCCTGGACCTGGCAGTTTGCTTTCTCACTTTCCTTCTCTCTTTCTCTCCCTCTATCCCTCTCTGGTCAAATTTAAATAAATAAATAAAGTTAAATTAAATAATTCTTTTAAAAGAAGATAGTCTCACTGTCACAGTCTTTCTGCCTCTGCCCCTTGCAGGAGCTACAGGCTACACTATCACGCCAGCTTTTTTTTTTTTTTCCCCCAGAGTTTGCTGTATGACCCAGGCCAATCTTCAGGTTCTGATCCTGCCGCCTCAGTCTCCCTAAGTCGCTGATGTTACAGGCGTATCCCACTCACCTAGCCTTTAGGCTGGACTGGGAACCTCAGTCTCCCTTTCCTACGTCATATTTACTAGACAGCCGCCACAACGTTGCCCATTGCAGGGGAGTTCCTCCACCACTCTTCCAACATTCAGAGACCCACGCTTAGATTTAGATCAATTTAATTCCAATCTTGGGGTGGGAACTGCCTTGTTTCCGTATTTGCACAATAAATGCGTTTCTGGTTTGGGATCGTTGCAGGCCATGAAGAAAGCTCACGACTGGGTGAAAGAGGAGCAGCCCACGGTGTCTGTAGATGTGGCAAAGGAGTCCAAGGGGGAGACCGAGAAAGAAGAGCAGGAAGAAAACCCTGACGATTCTCAAGAAGACAAAAAGGAAGAAAGAGCAACGAAGACCGTGGAGGTAAAATTATTGTAGATTCGGGAGCCAGCAAGTGGCGTGGCGATTAAGGCACTGGCCAACCATGGTTCGAGTCCCAGACCTGGTGGCTTGAAGGGCCCGTCAGGCGCGTGTGCATGTGTATCCAAAATCCCAGGTAGAGAATGGAGGAGAAAGGATTATGACGGTGACTATCCCCCCCTGTGGGTGGTTTTTCACTTTCCCTCTCTAAGTACCCCTCTCTCTGGCAAGCACATGTACCCTATGACAAAACCTAAAAATAATTAAGTAATTATTCTAGATGATTTACAGAGGCCGGTCATGTCATGTTCATTTTCTTAGCATGCTGATTTTAATTGAGGAAAGGTCATTGCTTTTTCATTTGTACCCTGTTCCACATTATCAAAATATGACTAGGAGTATGATAAACACTGAAATTTCCACACCGAGAGAATGTGTGGCTTCGTGAGATTTTTATAACTTTCTCCATAGCTTTACAATGATAAAGGGAGAAAGGGTAAAATGCCATCTTATATCCAATGTTACTATAAAATGTCTTTATGCCCAAAACTAATGAGGTAATTGAAGCTTTTTTAAAGAAAAATAAGTCAGGACCACAGCTTTCATTCTGTATTTTAATAAATTTATGTGTGCATAATTTACATCCTGCTTATGTTCAAAAGAGTTTCCCATAACTTCATGTTACATTGAATTTTAACTTTAGAGAAAGTGACTTTTTTTTTTTTTTGGTAGTTTTGCTAGAGGGTAAGTGCAGAGAGAAAGTGACAGAGAGAGAGTGAGACATCACTTCCTGGGGGATGGCCACACCCCAATCCCTTCTCCGTTCTCCTCTCAAGATTTTGGACACATACACACATATACCAGGCCTGATTTTCAAACCTCTGGGTCCAGGACTCTGATCAGTCTGCCATGTGGGATCCAGTCGCCTTAACCTCCATACCACTTGCTGGCCCCAAGAAGGTCTCTTTTTGACTTAGCTCACTCTATGGAATAATATAGCCATTGTGTGATCACATTGCTCTAAGTAATGGGGACACAGTTGTGATTAAACACGATTACTATTTTATAGCAGTATTCTACTTAGAAAAGTCTTAGACACACTCATAATCTTTAGATAAAGCTTTTCCTAATACATTGGGGTCCTTGGGAAAGTCATGATGTCTTCGACCTACTATTTTGTGGGTTTTAAAGAATTACACCATTTTTTTTAACATCCCAGGGTCTGTTTTGCCAGGGGGTTTGTGTGCTTTCCAGAGAGAGAGAAGCCACCTCCCAGCGAGGTCTGGTCACGCCGTAATCCCCTTTCCTCCTTCCTCCTTCCCATCAGGATTCTGGGCATGCACACCCATGCCAGGCATATTCCTGAAGCTTCTGGGGCTGGGATTTGAACCGTGGTCGGCCATGTGAGATCCGGCTTCCTCAAATGTGATGCTATACATAGGCTGGCCCTGAAACAGGGTTTTGTGGTTTTTTTTGTTTTTTAGGTTTTGCTCTAGTGTGTGTGCTCACCAGAGAGAGAGAAAGCACTCCCCAGTGGGGATGGCCACACTGCAATCCGTTCTCTCCATTCTCTTCTTGGGATTTTGGGCATGCACACATGCACTTGGCGTGATTTTCAAGCCGCGAGGTCACACATGCACTTGGCGTGATTTTCAAGCTGCGAGGTCTGGGGCTAACCCTCACAGTCAGCCATGTGAGATCCAGCTGCCTCCGCCACCAGCTACAGGCTGTCCTGGCTCAGGGTTCTCTCGCGGTTGTCAGTGCATCTGCTCAGCGGTTGTCAGTGCATCTGCTCAGCGGTTGTCAGTGCAGCTGCTCAGCGGTTGTCAGTGTATCTGCTCAGCGGTTGTCATCAGTGCATCTGCTCAGTGGTTGTCAGTGCATCTGCTCAGCGGTTGTCAGTGCATCTGCTCAGCGTTGTCAGTGCATCTGCTCAGCGGTAATTTCTTATTGTATCCGTTCATCCAGGAAGTTTACCTGTTGTCCATTGAGAGTCTGGCGGAAGTAACAGCTCGCTGTATCGAGCAGCTTCATAAAGTAGCAGAATTAATTCTTCACGGGCAAGAAGAAGAAAAGGCAACTCTGGACCAAGCGAAAGTTCTAGTAAAGTAAATGTGACTTTAATTCTTATTTTTTTCTTTTTATACACACACATACACACGCGCTAGTCAAATACACACGTCACACGTATATGCTCTAGGCCACTAACCATTCACATGTCAAGTCAATTACTTCATTGTTCTATGGTCATCTTTAGAAATACAGATGATTGGGGGACCAGCAGTTAGCGTAATGGCTACGTCGCTGGACTCCCATGTAGTTGACCGCTGTTCGAGTCCCAGACCCAGTGGTTTAAACTCTCGCCAGGTGCGTGTGTGTGCGTGAGTGCCCAAGATCCCGAGAGGACGAGAATAAAGGAGAAGGCATGGTCACCCCCCCCGGGGGGTTGATTTCTCGCTTTCTGTCTCTCTGTCTCTCGCTATCTTTCTCTGTCTTTCTGGTGCACGTATGCGCTCTATAGCAAAAAAAAAATATATGGATACTTAAGAAATGCATTATGTTAGCAAGAAGAAGAATTAACTAGACATTCAAAGAATTATTTTTTAAAGAACTATTTTATTTAACTTCATTTATTTGTTTTAATTTGACCAGAGAGGGACAGAGTGAGAGAGGTGGGAGGGAGTGAGAAAGCAAGCTGCCAGGTCTGGGATTCGAACCACTGTCAGCCATGTGGGAGCCCAGGGCACTTAACCACCATGCCACTTGCCGGCCTCAACATTCAAAGAATTATTTATAAAGATATTTAAGAGAAGACACATGAAATCATTCAGAGCCGTGAACGTGTTTACTTTCATTGGTCAAAGTCACAAAGCACCGACCTGTGAGGGGATTGGGTTTCCAGCTGACCACATGAACTGAGAAAGGCCACGCCAATGGAACTTCTCGGCTAGCTTCTCAGAAATCGGCAGACTCTCTACTGCTCTTGCGACTTAGACCAGCTCTGTGCGTTCTGAACTCTGGGCGTGATGGTTCCCAGTTTACTGTAAATTGTCTGTGCTCTCGTGTACGAAGGGACATCAGAAAATCCATGGAAAATGGCGTCGGAGTATGAATTTACTTTGGTGCAAAAACGTTTGAAATCCATGCATGGTTTTTCCATAATACACATTTTCCATACATTTTTAAAGACCCCCCCCTTCATTGTATGATCTTCAGTAAATAGTGGCTATTAAAATTAGTTCCTCTAGTGAATTAGAAATGTATATATGTGATTTTATTATACCTGAGAATACTTGGTATGGAGTTGAAGAATAAGTAATCAACTTTTATGTGTATGACTGTATATTGCGATACAGAAAATTAACACACATCCAAATACCTACTCGTTATTTTTAAGATACAGGACATAGGGACCAGCAGGTGGCATGGAGGTTAAGGGGCTGGATCCCACATGGCTAGCTTAAGACTCATACTGGGTACATTGAGTGCACGCTTCAAATACCAAGAGGAGAATGGAAGAGAAGGGATTGCAGCAAAGCCTCCTCCACCCCCCGGGAGTGAGTTCTCACTTACCCTCTCTCTCCCTCTGTGTGTGTCTCTGGCAAAAAACCTGGGGGGTGATTTCTCGCTTTCTGTCTCTCTGTCTCACTCTGTCTGGAGAGCACATGTGCCCTATAGCAAAAATCTCTCCAAAAACAAAAACCTGAATACATAGGTATTTATCAAATATTTATCAAAACAAAACCCGACCTCTACTGACTTCATTAGATCTTGTAACATGTAGACTCAACTTAGGGTTATTGTTTTTCTTTTTTTTACAAGAATTATTTTATTTTACTTTATTTATTCATTTATTTTAATTTGGCCAGAGAGAGGGACACAGTGAGAGAAATAGAGAGAGAGAGAGAAAGTAAAAAAGCAAGCCTTCAGGTCAGGGACTCGAACCACAGTCTGCCATGTGGGATTCCAGGGCTCCTAACAACCATGCTACCTGCTGGCCCCAGGGTTATTGTTTTTCTAATAGCTTTTTTTTTTTTTTTTTAGTTTACTATAGGGTGCAAGCACTCGCCAGAGACAGAGAGGGAGGAAAGTGAGAAATCACCTCCTGGGGGGATGACCATGTGCAATCCTTCCTCCTCTCAGAATTTTGGGCACACATGTACACACACACGGTATGATTTTCAAGCTGTGAGATCCAGCATTCAAACCTTGTAGCTGTCCACATGGGATCCAGGACCTTAACTGCCACACCATCTGCAAGCCCTCCAATGGCATTTTAATCAGTATTCCTAAAAGTCAAAAACACTTTTTAAAAAGATCAGACAATATCCACGTTGTTAGGTTATTCGTTTTTATCATCATCTGAAATGTTAGGATGAAACATTGTTTGAGGTGGGCCAGCAGACCACATGGTAGTTAAAGGGGTGGCTGGATCCCACATGGCCGACTGCAAGGTTTGAGTCCCAGACCTGGTGGCTTGAAAGACATGCCAGTGTCTCCCAAGAAGAGAATGGGACCCTGAAGGGTGTTTTCTCACTTTCTCTCTTTTTCCAGGCAAGCTCTATAGCAAACTTAAAAAAAAAAAAAATCAAGAAAAAATTGAATTAAATATTTGTGTTCATTTGTGTTATTTTCTTGGGGAAAGTCCTAGAAGTGGAATGGTTAGAATAAACTTGGAGTTTTTATATGTTTTTAAAACATTTCCTTAAAAACCTTTATTTTGAGACATCTAACAAAAACACAATCAAGTCCCAAGTGACTTCTGAATTTGAATCCAAGCTTTACTGTTTACTATTGAGATTCCTATCCAGGTTACTTAACCTTCTTCAATGTCAGTTTCTTTATCTGAAAAGTGAGAATAGTAACATAACTACGAGATCAGCCCAGCTATGACGGCGCAAGCAATAGGTTGCCACTCTGCAATACCGGAGCCACATGGGAGGCCCCTGGTTCAGGTTCCAGGTGGTCCCGATCACAGCAGGCATGCCTGTGGTACGCCACAGTCCTGACCAGCTGGAAGACTAGTGGGGGAGGGGCGTCACAGCATGGTGAGACCCCGTCAAGGGGCCCTGTTCATCTCCCTCCCACCTCTCATGCTGTCTCTACTTTCCTCGCTCATAAAATAGACAAACATTATATCTATACCTCTCTATAAAACTATGAGGTCACTATGATCAGTAAGTGTAATTACTTAGGCAGACCAGGCAGTGGTGCAGTGGTTGAGGTAACGACCCCACATGGCTACCCACAGCTTGAAAAACACCCTGGGGATATGTGCATGTGTGCGCAGAATCCCAAGAGGAAGGAGAGATGGAGGAGAAGGGATTGTGGCATGACCATGTCTCGTGGAGGTGCTTTTTCACTTCCTCTCTCTGTGTGTCTCTCTTTAAGGGGAACATTTCAGAATACATACTTTCTGGGGACCAGCAGTTGGTGTAATGGCTATGTCGCTGGACTCCCATGTAGTTGACCATGGTTCAAGTCTTGGACCCGGTGGCTTAAATTCACGCTGGGCATGTGTGCGTGCGTGCCCAAGATCCCGAGAGGAGGATGGAGGAGAAGGGATTGTGGCATGGCCATCCCCCCTGGGGGGGTGATTTCTCACTTCCTGTCTCTCTGTCTCTCTCTGTCTTTCTGGCGAGCGCACACGCATGCCCTATAGCAAAAACCTCTCAAAAAAAAAAAAATACATGCCTTCTGGCAAAATTTTAACCTATAGCAAAAACCTCTCAAAAAACAAAATACATGCCTTCTGGCAAAATTTTTTAAAAAAATGATGAGACATCCAAAAGTACTTAACATAGTGTCTCAGTGGATGTTCGTTATTATTTTAAAATGGCCAGAAAGCCGGAGAATGGTCACCTGGCCCGATTCACACTCCCGTATGTGTGGAGCTCAAGCATGGTCTCTTCCCACATGTGATTTTTTTTTTTTTGAGAGATTTTCACTGTAGGGCGCGTGCGCTCGCCAGACAGAGAGAGAGAGACATAGAGACAGAAAGCGAGAAATCACCCCCCAGGGGGGATGGTCACGCCGCAATCCCTCCTCCATTCTCCTCTCGGGATCTTGGGCACGCACGCACACGCGCCCGGCGTGAGTTTTAAGCCACCGGGTCCAGGACACAAACCGCGGTCGACTACGTGGGAGTCCAGCGACACAGCCATTACACTAACTGCTGGTTCCCCCCACATGTGATTTGATTCTAAGAAGAGGTCAGGGGAGCCAAGTGATGATTAGTTAATTAAGCAGAGAGAGAAAGCCAGGATCAGATTAAACTGAGTGGGCGTCATAGACGATTATTAAGAACTGATCGTATGTTCCTATAGAGCGTCTTCAAATGTGTGCACTTCTGGTTACTTACTGTCATACCATAGTGACACGGCGGTTGTCGGACGAGGAGGTGGCTCAGGAGTAACGCAGCTGGACACCCTGGGTTTGCATCCTGGACTTCTGTACACACCAGGCACACACACAGATCCCGAGACCTCCTTGTACACGCCGGGCACTCACACATCCTGGGACCTCCCTAAACACACCAGACACACACACACATTCTGGGACCTCCGTAAGCACACAGGCAGACATGTGCCCATGACCCAGCCCTGCTGGGATGAGTGGATCACAGCATGAGGACTGTGTTGGCATGCCTGCCTCTCTGTCACTCTCATGGAAGAGAGAGACAGATATGCGTGGGTATAATTGTCATGTCAGCTGGTTATTTTACTTTATTGGAAACGCCAACACCTCTTTTTTCATTTTTGTTTTTCCTTTCAGATTAACTACTGCAATGTGCAATGAAGTGGCCTCTTTATCAAAGAAGTTTACGAACTCTTTAACCACTGTCGGGGTAAGACTACAGTATTGATTTCTATTGCAACTTTTTTAAGGAAAACAGGTCTGTGAGGAGCTGTGAGGAAAAGGGGCAGATGTTGGACCTTCTTTGGTAGTGCCATGTAATAGAAGCCATGGCTGGACAGAGGCTATAACTAGGCCGGGAGCCCTTCCATGAGGACGGGCAGCTCAGGGCACCCCCAGAAAGCCTTCGAGGCCCACGCCTGGTGTCACAGGCTTGTGAGACACTGGGTGAGTTTTGAGACATCTTGGGCCTCATTTTCTTTATTAAAAAAAAAAAAAAATTAAGTGTCAAATAAAGTTCCTTTTAGGAGCCAGCATGATGTGGAGGTTAAGGTGGTGGATCCCACATGGCCAACTGTACTGGTCAAGCCCCAGACCTGCTGGCTTGAAAAGCACACCAGGCATGTGTGTCTGAAATCCCGAAAGGAGAGTAGAAGAGAAGGGATTGCAACATGGCCATCCCCCGGGTGTGATTTCTCATTTTCCTTTTCTCTATATCTGTGTCTCTCTCTGGCAAGCACACACACTCTACAACAAACTTAAAAAAAAAAAAAAAAAGTTCCTCCCATTACTTAATATCTCTGATGTATATAATTCAAGAATCTCTATTAAAATAATTTATTTTGAATATCCTCATTCACGGTTGCTCTTGAAGCTCATTTTATAAACCATAGGAGACTTTTTCTTTTTTTACTTTTACGTTACACTTCAACTTTAAACAAAAAAAAAAAAGTATGACCAATTAGCATAAAATTTTTCTGTTTTCAAGGTAACAACTTTAAAAGGTTGAACATTCATTTGGGGGCCTGGCTTCTGGGTTGTTTTTTTGTTTTGTTTTGTTTTTCCCAGAAATCAGTAATTTATATAAGATGACTTTACAAAGTTTGTGGAAAGATGGAATTAAAATTTGAGTTTATTTTGGTTGAAAAAAAATTGAAATAGATGAATAGTTTTTTCATAATATACACTTTCCATGAAATTTTTAAAGCTCCCTGATATAACCCTCACCTTAGGACAGTCAGAAAAGACAAGAAGAAAATATTTCCTTTTAATCATCCTTTTTCTTTTTTTTTTAAGAATTATTTTATTTAACTTTCTTCCTTTCTTCCTTCCTTCCTTTCTTCCTTTCTTTCCTTCTTTCTTTCTTTCTTTTAATTTGACCAGAGAGAGACAGAGTGATAGAGAAAGAGAGAGAAAGGAAAATTGAGAAAGCAAGCCACCAGGTCTGGGACTCGAACCGTGGTCAGCCATCTGGGAGTCCAGTGCCCTTAACCACCACATCACCTGCTGCCCCCCCTACTTTTCCTTTTAAGACCTTGCATGCAAAATTGGGTGATTGTTTTCATGAAAAACAGCAGGGTTTACTTCTGTTTTAGTTGTAGTGTGATTTTTGGTTGCTGGTGCATTTGTTTCCTAGGGCTACTGTAACAAAATAGTACAAACTAGACAGAAAATGTTCTTTCACAGTCCTAGAGGCTACAAGTCTGATGTCAAGGTGTCAGCTGAGCCATGCTTCCTCTGAAGCTTCTGGGGATGCCTCCTTCCTGGCTTCCTTCAAACTCCAGGAGCTCCAGACGTACATTGGCTTCTGACCATGAAAATCCAATCTCTCCCTGTCTTCCTATGACATATTTTTCTGTGTATCTTCACATTGTCTTTTCTCTGCACATTTGTGTCCAAATTTCCCCCTTTATATGAAGATATCAGTCATATTGGATTAGTGTATTGTCCATATGACCTCATTTTATTTTATTTTATTTTATTTTATTTTTTGAGAGGTTTTTGCTATAAGGCACGTGTGCTTGCCAGACAGACAGAGAGAGAGAGACAGAGAGACAGAAAGCAAGAAATTTCCCCCCCGGGGGGGATAGCATGCCTCAATTCCTTCTCCTCCATTCTCCTCTCGGGATCTTGGGCACGCACACGCACCCGGCGTGAGTTTTAAGCCACCGGGTCCAGGACGCGAACTGCGGTCAACTACATGGGAGTCCAGCAACATAGCCATTATGCTAACTGCTGGTCCCTCATATGACCTCATTTTAATTTACTATATTTGCAAAAACCCTACCTCCAAATAAGGTCACAGTCTGAGGTACTGAGAGGACAGCAATATTATCTTTTTTTTTTTTTTGGTGGGGGGAAGAGGGGACAGACACAATTTATTCCATCTGGAAGCAATAGAAACAAGTTCTAAATACTTTAGACAGAAAAGGGGCTTTGTGAAAGGAAATGGAGAATGTGAGTAAGCTGTGGAGAACCAGCATATCCTCTCTAAAGTGTGGCTATTAATGTGACTCAATAACTGCAGTGCCCACACCCTGTGTCTCTCCATTCAAAGCCCTGATTTCTGGGGAAGAAGATTGGAGAAGCTCATATGTATGGGTCAGATGTCCATTTTGGTATTATTCGGCAGCTGGTGGGGACAAGTCACATTATACAGACCTATCTGGCTGCTGGAGTAAGTGACTCAGTTCATCAGGGGTGAGCTGCATACCACCTATTCAGGAATCTGGTTTGCTTCTCCTAGTTGGTAAAGCAGCAGCTTTTATATTTGTCTAAGTTTAAACCTTCAGCAATAGAATTTCACTGTAGGCAGGCAGAGTGATGGGAGAGGTAGAAGCTCATTGGTACCGTAGGCTGGATAAAGCGTATGTTCAGGCTGACACACCTGAAACCTACAGATTTAGTATAAATGTAAAGCCAATAAGCGGGTGTGCGGTCTTAATCAGGACAGGATGGCCTTGACAACTCAGATTCCCAAGTCTCTGTGGGAGGAAACAGGCCCAGAGTGGTGAATTGGCCCGCCCAGGTCTCTCGATTGATGTCTCAACTCCCCTTTGGCTGCCCACCAAACCACAGACAGATAGGAGACTGTTTTGGTTCTCTGTGATCATCTAGGGATGAGGGTAATTTGCATGCATTTAGGTCTGTTACATGTTTACGTATTTTATGTTAAACATGGACTTGTCTAAATTCATGGGTAATAGTCATGGTATTGCTTTTCATTCCTTTTAATGTGCTGCATTGCAGTGCACTGCTTCTCACAACTAATGCATATGCAGACCACCTGAGATCTTGTTCAATGCAGATTCTGATGTAGGCCTGGGCTGAGCTGAGGACTGAGATTCTGCATTTCCACTAAGCATGGGGTGAGGACGATGTTTCTGATTCATGGTCCATATTTTCTGTAGCAGGGCTCCAGCAGACAGCGTTTACTTGAACCTGCATATGTATGGGTATATACACATATGTGGGCACTGGCAGGTGGTGTGGTGGACTGGATTCCCACATGGCTGACCGTAGTTCGAGGCCCAGAGCTTGTGGCTTGCTTTCTCTGTCTCTCTGTCTCTCTTTGATCAAATTGAAGAAGAAGAATTTTTTAAAATGAAATGAAAAATTCTTAAAGCAAAAATATTTTAGAAAAACAAAAAACTACACATGTGTACAAACATTCGTATGCACAAAATCAAGAACACACAAGTTATCATTTTGAAGAAGGAAAAAAGTCGCATCTAAAATAGAGCGCACCGAAATCCTATGTCATCACAATACCTCTGATATTATGCTATGATGAATTTTCATCAAGTTGTTGTTTCTGTTCTCTAAAACAGCCATTATTCATAACTTGAAGTTAATGAGTGTCTTATTGCTCTCCAGACTCTATTTAAAATTGCTTGCACATCTCATTGATTCTGAAAACCAATGTCATTTTATGGCCCTCATTTTGATTATATTTTAGAGCTTTATTGATAATCAAATAAACATGAAAGCAAATACCGTAATGGGTTTTCTGGTTACTTCCTAAAATGACTGAGTTTTTAAAGAGCTTTTTCCCAAGGCTCCATTATGGTTTTTCCCCAGCAAGACATTACTGTACTCTCTGTAGAGTAGTATCAATGTGGTCTGCTCAGGGAAGATGCATTTAATTTATGTAATTTTGTTTACCATAAACTCTTCCACTTAATGATTTATTGTCTAAAAGCAGAGTGAACATTTTACATAGACGATTGTTGATTGATAGATAGCAAGAATAAGGATAATGATATTAACATTAGCTTTCACTTTTAATTTTTTAAGAATTATTTATTTTATTATTATTATTATTTTCCAATTTGCTACAGGACACATGCATTCAGAGAGAAAGGGGGAAAGTGAGAAAGCAAGCCACCAGGTCTGGGACTCGAACTGCCGTCACCCAGTGCCTTAAGCACCACACCACCTGCTGGCCCCTGGCTTTCACTTTAATAGCACTGGACTTTTTATCAGACTCCATACTCTGTGCTTTACATGTATACAGGTTTGTTTTGGTTTTTGAGAGGTTTTTGCTATCAGGCGCGTGTGCTCCCTGGAAAGACAGAGAAAGACAGAAAGCAAGAAATCACCCCCCAGAGGGGATGGCCATGCTGCAATCTCTTCTGCATTCTATTCTTGGGATCTTGGGCACGCATGCACATGCGCCCAGCCTCAGTTTAAGCCTCTGGGTCCGGGACTCGAACCGCAGTCGACTACATGGGAGTCCAGCAACATAGCCATTATGCCAACTGCTGGTCCCATGTATATAGGTTTTTAAAACATGGGTCTGCAGACCTATCTACAAGTTATACCTAATAATATTTTAATTTTGCTACTATTCTGGAACACACTTTATAACCAAGTACCCACGTTTGCACTTGAAAGAAGAGAGAGCTGGAGTGTGGTAGTTGTGTGCTGTGCACAGAAAGCCAGATCCCACGTGGCCGACCATGGTTTGAATCCTGACCCCGGCAGCTTGAAGCACACACTGGGCATGCATGCCCCAAATTCTGTCAGAATGAAGAAATGGAAGAAGGAGAATTGCAGCATGACCACACCTCTTGGAGGTGCTTTCTCTTCTCTGATGAGCATGGATATCCACAGCAATAAAAAACAAGCAAATACATAAATTTAATTGACTATAAAAGAAGAAAGAGAAAAGACTAGACCAGGGCTTTGACCAGGACAGATGAGTGAGGGACTTAACAAGTCTGCAAAATTTAAGAGGTCTCTCCTCACCAAAAGAAAAAAGAAAAAAAAAAACAAGGAAAAAGAAAAAAAAATTGCAACCATCTAACAGATATAGTAAGACAGTATTTTTAAAAAATTAAGTTAAACTGCAAAAAAGAAAACAATCTAACAGATACAGTGAGACAGTATTTTTAAAAAAATTAAACTACATAATGAACAAAATATCAAAATTTTAAGCAAACACAGAATCTAACCCTGCACTTGCACAACTTGGCCTCTTACCTCACCCTAATCCCAGACCTACTACAAACTTTAGTTAAAATTCTCAGTGGGACCAGCAGGTGGTATAGTGGTTAAGACATTGGACTCCCACATGGTTGACCACTGTTCAAGTCCCGGACCTGGTGGCTTGAAAATCATGTGCGGTACATGCATGTGCATGCCCAAAATCCCAGAAGGAGAATGGAAGAGGAGCAGTTGTGGTGTGGCCATCCCTTGTGGGTGATTTCTCACTTTCCTTCTCACTGTGTCTCTCTGTCTCCTCTCTGGCGAGCGCATGCACCCTATGGTAAAAATCTTAAATAACAATGTCTGAGTTTAGGGCCGGCGAGTGGTGTGGTACTTAAGGTACTGCATCCCACATGGTGAACTCTGTGGTTCAAGTCTCAGACCCATCAGCTTGTAAAACACACAGGGCCCATGTGCATGAGTGCCTGAAATCTCCAGAGGAGAATAGAGGAGAAGGGATTGCAGCATGGCCATGCCCCTTGGGCAGAGGGGAAGGTCATTTCTCACTTTCCCTCTCTGTTTCTCTCTCTCTGGCAAGCATGCATGCCCTATAGCAAAAATCTAAAAAAATTTAATTAAAATGTGAGTTTACATTTCTAGGTATATGACCTTTCAATAAGTTATTCAACTTTCCTGATCCTTATTTTTTCATGTTTAAATTGGCATTATCATGGTACTGATCTCCAGGATTTCTACTGAAATGAAATGATCTCATACAGGAGAAACGCCAAAGATGAAGCCTCCCACCTCTCCTTCCATAAAGCTAGTGAATCACCCTGTATGCGGCAAGCCTTACAGTGCAAGCATCTAATCTGTCAATTTCATGCTTCTGATTCCGCAGAGCAACAAGAAGGCCGAGGTCCTTAACCCAATGATCAATAGCGTATTGTTAGAGGTAAGTGGCCCCCGGAGAGAGTGCTTCTGAATCAAAGCAGATGTCAGAGCTACTTTTTTATTTATTTTTATTATTATTATCATTATTACTATCTTTCTTCCAGGCAGCAAGTGTTAACTGCAGTTCTAAATCTTATCATCAACAGTCTTTTTTGAGTATATTTGTGTAGCTCAACCAGCTATAAACCCTCCAGAGAAGCAATAATACCTAATTTTCAAGAATTCCTGGTTATAAAAAGAAATGCTAAGCTTGCGTGTTATTTCTGTTGCCGTTTCCTGCAGCAGAAGCAGATTTCTGCTGCCAAGTTTGACACTAGATTTAACACTATGATTATTGGTTGCAATGAGGGATTACAGCTCAATGGTGATTTTCGTAAAAATGGGCACTTCCCTCCTCTCACCATATCCTTTGGTTTAGCTGGGTCTAAGCTTCAGGCTGGTGAAAATGACAAGTGAAATGTTTAGCCCTGGGCCCACTCAATGACAAGGGGCACCTGTGACCACTGTACAACCTGCCAGTCGCCAGGACTTCAGAGCCTCAGCTGCACAGACATGAAACCACCCCAGCACTGACATAGCTATGCCAGAAACTGTGATATAAAAAGAGGCCAAAGGGGACCAACAGATGGTGTATTGGTTATGTTGCTGGACTCCCACGTAGCCAGCTGCTGTTCAAGTCCCAGACCCTATGATTTAAAACTCACACTAGGCGTGTGTGCATGTGTACCCAAAAATCTCAAGAGGAGAACAGAGGAGAAGGGATTGCAGCATGGCCATCTCCCCGGAGGATGATTTCTTGCTTTCTTTCTCTTTGTCTCTCTCTCTCTGTCTCTCTGGCAAGCACATGTGCCCTATAGCGAATATCTATTAAAAAAAAAAAAGAAAAGAAAAGAAAAAGAAAGAAAAGAAAGTCCAAGAAGCCTTCTCATTCTTGGGTCCCAGGCACTGTTTATCTGTGCTTGGTGAAGGGAAATCTCCCACCGAGGACCCAGCCATTAGAGACTTGCACCTCTGTATCCACAGGGCACGCTGCTGATGCGCTGAGGTGTAACAAGCTAAGTCTGAGCGCAGGGAGTGCACATACAGGAGGCTTTGTTTCGTTTCTTTCTGGAGTAGCGGTCAATTGCAAAATTCGGACATGACTGAACTTTGAGAGGGCCACCTCTTATCTATAGCCACGTTTTGGGGAAGTCATGCTTTTCTGTTAAGGAAAACTACCCAGGTACAAAAATAACCAAGTGGGGGCTGGCTGAGTGCTGTGATCCAGGGTGCAGTCACTCAGTGGGAGGGAGCGCTGGGCGGGTCCTGGAGGGACAGGCACAGCCCAGAGGAAGCCCTGGCTGTCAGAGGCTGTATAAGAAAAATCTCTCCCCTAGCCACCTGGAGGCGTTAGCAGATTCGTTTATGCTGTCAGTCGTGAAGACTAGGAGGTCAAATGTTTTTTCATCCCCCTGGCAAAGGTTCTCCCCTGTGTTGATTATCCTAACCTTTAAATGGCCTCCGGGCCCCAAAGCATTCATTAGTGTCCTATGGAACGTGAGTGAAAAGTCAGATACCCAGACAAGCAGAAGGGACCGCAGGCACCCGCGGAGGGCGGTGTTCAGGACTTGCCGTGAATAACTGTATAACATCTGCAGTGAGCTGGTGGTGACCACTCTTGCTTATTTATCTATGGGTGAAGACAAACTGATCTTGGTACTGTGCTTTTGGGTCATTTCAGTGCAGTAGAGTTGATCCTGGGAAAAGGGGAGATAAGAATGGACACAGTGGGTCATAGATACACGCACCGAGGTACTTGACAGTCCATGGAAGTGATCCCCAGGGGGAATGGTCACGCCGCAATCCCTTCTCCTCCATTCTCCTCTCGGGATCTTG